GTAATTTGTGCTACACCATGATTATCTAATTTCAGCACTGGAAGACTGACACATTGTCTACAGGCACAGCTGTCATGAGTGTTATCAAAAAGTTACTCAAAAAGTTACTCCCCTCTATAGCCCACACACCGGTCTAAAACCAGCTTTATTCAAATAAACTAAAAATGGATCCTAGTCCTTAGGGAACTCACCAACAAGAGCAAAGTTACTTTCTAGCAGCTCCCTGTGAGTATTGAACCATGCATGAGCCAGACGGTTGTTTTTGTTCTTCCCAATGATGTAATTCATGATGTAAGCAAGAAGACCTGTTACCATCAGAATCTCCATGTAATAACTCTCCCAGCTGTTTTGAAGGTGAGCAGGGACCTATGATAAGTGAACAGAGACTGTCTTTTACATATTGAATGAGCAGATTCCATAGAGACAAACAGTTTGGAAAGCACAGAGTACTGGAGAAGCTTCAGCCCAAACACAGCAATAACCTTCACAAAGGCAACAGGACAGAGCTAAGCCTACATAATGCAATTGGCTCTACTGGGACACAGTAATCATACAGGAAACAACTGATAATAGCATTCCCAAAATACCTGGCTAATGCAAACAAAATACTTCCCTCTTCCAAGTGAGTTTGTGCTAGCATGCATCCCTCAGAGTAGTCAACAGCCCGGCATTTCAACCCATTGATTATCTGAGCTTGATGCCCTGCCCATCACAGCATTATCTGATCATCACATAACTTCTGTTAAAATCTGAAGTAATACTTAATGTCCGGGAGCATTTTCAGATGCCACCAAGAACGACAGACTGCGTGGGGGAGCAGAGAAACCTGCCTGATCTTGCCATCTGCAGAGAATAATTAGTCATTCTGCTATTACTGTATCACCCCTCAGTCACAAAAGTACCCAAACCTTAATTTTCACACCCAAAGTAAGCCCTAATACTTAAAAAGAGATCTTAGGGATAATAAAATGCAGGCCTCAAGCACCTGGTCATTTCATAAAAGACTCTCTTGGGAGGCAAAAAGAAGATGATGCAGGGTAGACAGAGTGACTTCAAAAACCATCACAGCCATAGATTACACTATGTTTACTGTAAGCATATCATCACTGCAACCTCTTCATGTGTTGACAAAGCATCCAGACATGATGGGATGTATGGTTTTTCTCTGGATTAAATGAAGGTCATCACTCTAGCTCTTCCACTTCTCCCCCACAGTCATACAGGTAAAAGAAGCTAAGTCATAAAATTCTTTGGTCAAAACTATGTTTCAAGAGGTCTCTTTTAATGAAGAATTTCCTGATCTATATTCCAATTACAATTCTCAGTTTTTGTACAGGATTGATCCAAGTATGGGAGTTCTAGCAGTTTAAAACAGAGATCAACAGACCAAAGACAGCTGCCCTGGAAGTTTTACTTCAAGAGCTGCGATTTAAAGCATAGCATAAAGCAATGCAGCAGAGCATGGAAATTGGGAGCTAGCACACCTGGATCATTTCTGCTGCTATCCTGTTGCATTATGTCAGGTATTTCTTTTCTCCACACTTCTACCCATTTCTGCACTGTCTCTTGTTAATTCAGATAGGGAATTATTTTGGACAGATTCTCTCTTATGTGTCTATATATCCATACACCAATGACATTACTGGCATACCACCTTAAAAAAAAAAAAAAAAATCAGTGATGAAACATCAAATAGAAATCAGGTCAACATTTATACTTACATTAACTATTGTTATGGGGTCTTTATTTTTGCTATGAGATGCATCTGGTTTCTCTTCATAGCCTTCAAACTCCTCATCATCATACGGTTCACTCTCAGTATCACCTTCCTAAAGGGCAAAATTCACAAACAGCATGAAAATCCAAAGCCACATAAGCAAAATCCCAAAAGATAAAGTGATAAAAGTGTAGAGATACTACTGGGAAACACATAGAAGAGAGAGGTGAGGCAGTACCTGTGCATCTGCATCATCAAAGTCCTCCTGATTCTCATCCTGACCTTCAAGCTCTACAGTGGCTTCTTCTTCATCATCTTCTGTGGTGATGATCCTCTGAGGAGACTCTGTGACTGCATCTTCATTAACGTCTTCAAATTCAGCAAAGTCATTGTCATCATATTCCATAATGTCATCTCCATCCTCAAATTCATCATACTTTGCCAAAGAAAAACTCCACGGGATGAAAAGGACAGCAATAAAAATATATAAATTCTTCATTTTCACTGGAAAAAAAAATTAAACATTTCAAAAAATCCTTATTAATTCTGTTACATCACACCTCCAATAATGCCCAACTTCCATGAACAATTTAAAAACACTATCAGGATCAGACCAGTGAGAGAAAAAAACCTCTGCCTCATCTTGCCATCTTCTGTATAAAGAAAGTGAATACTCTTACAAGAAAAAATAACTCTGAAGGTGAACTTCTAGACTCTTGCTTGTAGCAGGAGCAGCTGAGGCAGCAGCAAGTTCCCATCTGGCCAAGCTGCTCAGATGAGGAATTTCTGGAAGCAGAGATATTCCACTATAAAACTGACTCTCCAATAGCATCTCTCAGTCATCAGAGTTGCCAACTCTCTTCAAAGACCACACACTGTGCCTACAGTTATTAATTAGCAACTAGCCACAGTCAGATCAATGAATGTGTAACAGCAGCAGTAAATCTTAAAATGCACTGAATTCATTTACTTTAAACAGCAATGCTCTGACAGCTTCTGCTAGTTTAATTAAAAGTGCTCATCTTTGCTCTACTAGACTGCATGCTCAGAATCGGGTCCCACAGCAGCCCAACACTATCTCTGTTTAGAAATAGGACATTTTGCTGTAAGCTCTACCAAAAAAAAAAAAAAGACAGGAAGAGAATGGATATTGCACTGGTCCCCAAAACAACGTTGTAAACTGGGGCTCATGAGACCAAACTCTTTCCCCAGATCTGCCAGAAACATGCAAAGAGTTTGTCAGTTCACATTTTTTTTTTCCCCCTCAGCTTCCTATATCTCTTCTGCTTGATCTCAAAATAGTCCCACTCTCCCACTCAGACTGTGGGGACCATCATCAAAGTCCAAACTAAGAGCCCGAAAAGGCAGAAATAACCCTACTACTGCATTTCACAAACAGCTACGGAGGACCAGCTGCATCAGGCTTGGCAGTAAGACTAATTTTATTCCCTCCCACAACCAGATCTGAGTGGGAACTTGAATGTTAATGAGATTGTTCTCTTAAAAACTTGAAATAGAAACGATTTGTTTCTAAATTAGACCAGCAGTCCTCTGAGTACCACATGCAAGGAACCCACTGCTACGAATGACAAGGACGGCTAAAATAAATGTCTTTGTCAGAGACTTCTTATTCTAGCAAAAACCTGAACAGAACATGTTCACAAGAACATTAATCAAGAAGGAAAGTACAGCAAGGCCCCGAAGGCAAGGGACTCTCCGCGGCGCCGGGCCCCCGCTCTCCTTTCCCCGCTGTGCTCAGGGAAGGGTGATGTCGGCGGGTGGGGGGCGTCCCTCCTCCTCTCTTCAGTAACCGCCAGAAACGGAGCAGCTGAGATGTTGCTGCGTTTCCCCCAGGTCCAGGGGAGCCGTGGAAAGGGTCCGTACCCTCGCGTTTCCTCCCTCGGAACGGCGTTTGCAGAGACGCCAAGCCCGGCGGTCAGCCTGTAGGAACTGTCTGTAGGAACCCTCTCCCTGTACGCTCACAAGTGGGCTCCCTGGGCAGACAGACCACATTTTGTACTTTTGCAGATGTATGACAGAATAAAAGAATGATTCTTTTTATTGTCTGGGGTGGTAGGAAGGAAAAGAAGTCAGTAAGTACAGCAAGGAATAATCCTTTAAATCAGATGTGATAACTTAAAAGACTGCCTGCTGTGCTGTCAGCTGCTAAAGTGCAAAGTTACACCTTTTATCCGTTTCTTGTACATTTTGATCTCTTACTTGCCACGCATCTGCAGGTCTGAAAGCTACAAGGTGCGTCAGTGCAGGTGGGAAAACGACACCAGTCAGCTGCTACCATGGAGAAGTGGATAGCAGAGTTTTCCCCAAAGTCTCTTAATGAACTCTAGCCCAGACTTGAGATTTATTGAGCAAGTCCCAAGCTGGTCAGTGTTCCGCACAGGGAGCGGTAGCAGTACATACTCTCAGATTATTTTGAAGTTGTTTCTTTTGCCATTGAATTCTGATCTCATTGGAGGATTCTTGCTGAATGTGAGGATTTAATAAGTGTTTAATAACACTTGCAGCCTTTGAGCCATCTAATTATAATGCCCTTGAAAGCAGTGGGTGTCATACTGTCTTTGGCTGCCTTAAAGGTATGACTTGACCATGCAGATGAAATAATTATTTGGAATGGGAAGTGTCAATCTTAGTATCAGTCTTAATCCCAGTTCAGTCTTCTCTGATCTAACCTAGAAAGCCAAATTCTGGGCAGACATGTTGTGTGGAGTATTTAAAATGTGGTTTGAAAAATGTAGGTAGGAGAACATATATATGGCTAAATGTTTTCTTAAGAAGAAGATGACTTTTTGGCAGAAATGTACCTTGTCTCATAACGGAGTGGTGTGGTGCTTTGGGCCCGTTTTTCTAAAGATGTTTGGATTGCAGTAGTGTATTTACAAAGCCATGAAACACTGAAGGGTAGGACTGTATGGACGTGCAAAATATGTACTGAGTTGACTTTTCATCTCCTGCTCCTCCCGATGTTCAAAGTTCTGGCCTTGGGTTTGTTTGTCATAGATTGGAAAACAGACAAGACAGGCAGCATCTTAAATACTCTTAGGTAGTCACTGACAGACACAATCAGTTTTGGAAGACAGTGTCTTGTTTTATTCTTTTTTTGAATTATGGATACTTACAAGAAGAGAACAGAGCCCAGATCCTTTTTTGGGAAACAGATCAAACTCTTGGCAGTCACATTTCCACAAGTCTCTTTATCATGACAATTATACATAACTGCCTAGAGCAAAAAGGGCATTAATTTGGGTTTTTGTGATTTTAACAGATATATTGAGGACATCATGAATTGGAATAAAGGTGGACCTGGTACTAAGAGAGGCTTTGGTTTTGGTGGATTTGCCATAACGCCTGGAAAAAAAGAGGAGCCTAAGCTCTCTCAACAGTCTCATAGTGCTTTTGGAACAGCCGGTTCTTCTGCTGCATTTGCGAAATCGGGACCTCCTCAGCTGCCTTCTTTCTACAAAATCGGGTCAAAGCGAGCAAATTTTGACGAAGAGAATGCGTAAGTAGGGTTATTTCTTGTGTTTCTCTAGCTCTAGATCTTGGGTGTTTTAGAATTTCCAAGGTCAGGGAAAGTATCTGTGACATTTATGTGGTTTAGTTATTTAGAAAAGCCTGCTCAAGAATAAATACCCTAGCACTGCATTATGGTGTAACAGAACCCCGGTAGCTTTACAGCAATAGTATCAAGAAAAACTGAGCTAGTCACCTGCAGGTACTCCCATCCTTGCTTTGCAGCAGACTTTTGATGTTGCCTTGGACTGATTATTTACCTTTCTCTGGGTGTCAGCCCATTGTCTGTAAAATGAGAATGATAATACATTCTTGCCTTTAAATATATTTAAAAGACTGTGAGATGCTGCAGCAGCCAGTGGAGAGCTCTCCTCTAGCTTTCCCTTCCCTAAGAACATATCTCAGCTGAGCCTCAGTCAGCTCAGTCTCATTCTGAATAAGACTTTGCTTGAGATAGTGTGCTCAGAATTGGAGCCAAGCAGCATAAATTTGGGTGGTTTTTGCACAGGGGAACGTTGAGCTCCACATTTCTTTACTAACCCTTCTATTAGCTGTGTAAATGCGTTGAATAGAAGGGAGGTCAGAAAAGCATCCTATATTCACAAGCCTGGGAGAGCCACTCAGGAATCAGATTCCTAACATCTGTTTGCCTGACCACCACTTTTAGCTTACAGCATGAATAAAGAAACAAATCTCAACATCTTTTCCTGTGTACATACTGACTTTTGCTGTCCCATCTCTGTGTGGGAAACTTGACTCAGAAACCATAAAAGACAGCATGGTGCTGTACTGTGTGCTGACTGAGCCATTGTTTGTTTCTTTTCAGATACTTTGAGGATGAAGAGGAAGATTCCAGCAATGTCGAATTGCCATACATTCCCGCAGAGAATTCCCCCACTCGCCAGCAGTTTCATTCCAAATCAGCAGACTCTGACAGCGATGATGATCCTCTGGAGGCATTCATGGCTGAAGTGGAGGCAAGACCCGACTTGTGAAATGTTTATTAATTTATGTGGCCGAACTTCTCTCTAGCCAGGAGCAGCAAATGTCACTCATGATTTTGGCAGCTCTATTCAGAACGTCACTTAGCTTTTGGTTTTTATGTAAGATGCTGTGTTAAGTAGAACTCAAAGGTGGATTAGATGGGGAGAGGGTGGATATGATTTACGGTAGCTTAACTGTTTTGAGCATGTCAAGGCAGTACAACTAACAGCTTTGTGTGGCACTGAATACAAAATTAAGGTTTTCTGCATTTTACACTACCTGAATTGAAATTATTTGTATTTATCATGAGCTGTTCCTTAGCTACAGTTCTGTTATTAGCTGGATTCTGTCACAGTGTTTTCAGGAGGAATGCAGAGAATGTATTTTTACAACAACGTTACCGTGAAGTCACAGTATACAAATTTCAGAGGTTTTAGCAGAATAGGATATGGAGCAGGAGAAAGTCCAAAAAATGCTGCCTCTGTGGCATGATGGTCAAGTTATGTAGGAACAATTTTCCTCTACATGTTTTATCATCTTGGTTTTTTTAACATGTCCTAATTTTATGACCTGTTAGGATCAAGCTGCTCGAGACATGAAGAGACTTGAAGATAAAGACAAAGAAAAGAAGAATGTTAAGTAAGTTCTCTTTTATAATTCCCATGCCTGCCTGTGTCTCGTATGCTGCTAAGAGTATTCCAATGCATTTTGTTGATGATGATTGTTCTGTAGACAATATAATATATACTTAGTAAACAGCATTAACCAGTGCATGATATTTTCCATGGGTAAAGTTCTGTTAAATAAAAACTGAATAATAGGAGGGAAGAATCCATGACAGCATCCTACAGTAAGATGTAACACCCTGAGAGTTATCTCACGTGAAAAGCCTTTCTAGGCCACACAAATTGGGGCAGCACATTGTACTACTACCATCTTCCAAGTCAGCCTGAATAGTTTTTCTTCTTTCCATATCCTTGCAGTGATCAGGGTGGTTTAGTTTAAAACTGCATTTATGTGACCAATATAACTCAGTACAGCTGAGCTGTAATACTGGAGATTCTTCCAAAGTTGAAGTAGGTTTTAAGACATTCCACAATAAAGCTGATGTATTAGGTAGCGTGGGACAATTTGGAGTTTAAAACAGTTTACATTTTTGCAGCTTATCTATCTGTTTTGACCAAAGTAAGTAATGATGCTGTTGATTCTTGATATAAATATCAGATACCTTGGTAGAACTTGCACTGCATGGGGTTGATGAGGTTATACATGGTCCTGAAACAAAACACCGGATCCATATCACCACCCAGGGAAGTTCTGAACTGGATTGCACTTCGTGGCTCATATTCCTCTTCAGTTACGGGACTTCTGTAGCATCAAGAGCTTAGACCAGGATGATCTTTGATGTGGCTTCTACTGGGAAGATGAAATCCTAATCTTTCAGTCTCATTAATAGAAGTAAAAAGAAGTCTTTGTAGGGTCGTTTTTATGGTTGGCACCAAATATGAAAACTCCATGGGTTGGGATTATAAATGTTACTGAGTTGTTAGTGTTGTGTCTTCCACAAAATATGGAGCTCAGCACTAATCAAATGAAACTATGGAGCTGAGTATGTGGAACACTTGCAGGGAAGTTTTTTTTCTCCGCTTGTTTTTCCAGGGGTATTCGAGATGACATTGAAGAGGAAGATGACCAAGTGAGTTCCTATGCAGTCTTTCTATCTTCTTTTTTGTTTTTGTTTTTTTACCTTGCTTCCCCAAATATATAACTACTAGGTACAAACAAAACTCCAGTATCACATGCAGTATCTGGACAATTCAGCAGGAAGCTGTAGTGGTTACCCTGCTGTCTCTACCCTTCTAGGTGTTTCACTAAAAAAAAAGAAGAATATTAGGAGGCAATTTCCTTCTTTTTTACTCCGTTTAAGAAGATTTCTTCCATCAGTTTGAACTTCGACTTTCTGTACAGGATTTTCAGTATCTGAGGGTCTCATCAAATTTGGAATTAGCAGAATCAACTAACATGGAGCACCAGTGAGAGGCTGTTAAACTGTGGAGGCTATGTGCAGTGAGATTTGATGCCTGTCAAGGGCAAGAATCAGGCTTTTTGCTCTTTATTTTCAGAGGAGCTCCAGTTCTGATTGAAGATTATAAGCATCACTGTAACAGAAATAATAAACAAAGAGGAAAGTCTTCATTTCAAAATGTACCTTACTACTAAGTTATAATTAATAACTATTGTGTTACTCGCAGTAATGCGGAGCACAGAAGGGTTGTCTGGCCTCAAGGCCTTTGCTTCCAATTTGGTGAGTGTAGCTGTGATAAAGTTTGAGCAAAGGTGACTTACACTTGGAGACAGCTGTTGTTCAGGTGTGTTGTGTGTGTCTCTATGTGACTGAATGATAATTGGCCATGCAAGTGAAAAAGCCAGATGAGTATATACGTTTATTTGTAATTGAACCTTGCTTTAAAATTCTGATCTTAAATATTTGCGTGAAAGTCGAGTGAGACTGATGTTTCCTCCATGAGAATGTCGTGGTGTGCCAGTGAGATTCTGTGAGACACGGACATATTTGTGAGCTGGAAGGATGGCATGTGACAGGGACTTCTAACTTGGGCTTGTGTTAAAGGACTCTTCTGACATAGTTTCTTTCCCGTTTGTTGTTGACTCTGAATGACAAATAGATATATTTTCATTTCTTAGAGTCTAGTATGGGGAAGTAGAGAAACTGGTTTTGGCATAGTGTGTTTAAAAAACCCCTGAACATCGCATGCTTAGTAACATTGTGTTCTCTGTTTAAAAACCTGCAGCATTTGTACTTTGTTCGTGTGGAAATAAGAATAGATTCTTCTATTGTTAAAGGATGACAAGTCTCGGTAGAAGAAGTTGTTAAGCAGACGTATAAGAGAAGTTTGGTTTTTAAAAGCAATTTGTGGTCTAACTGTCACTATAGTTGTTTTCTTCATACTTATTGTCCTTCTGGACATAACTGTTGGTATTTATTAGAAGAATCAGTTGTAGTGAACGTGGTTTTTTTTTTCCTCAATGATGGATGTGAAAGCAAACAGCCGTCTAGCATATACATCATTAAAACAAATGTAGTAGTAGTTTTGCATCCTATTGTATGTGATTTTACTGATATGTTTTGCTGCAGGAAGCTTATTTTCGCTACATGGCTGAAAACCCCACTGCTGGTGTGGTCCAAGAAGAGGAAGAGGATAATCTGGAGTATGATAGTGATGGGAATCCAATTGCACCATCCAAAAAAATCATTGATCCTCTTCCACCTATTGACCATTCAGAGGTAGGAAGGAAGTTTATTCCATTCTGTTCTGAGGCATTCTAGAAAGCAGGAGCCAAGCAGCAGATTGAAATTGCTTCTGTCCCTGTAAAATTTCTTGAAATGGCTTCATATTAAACAGATGTTCTTGCAGACAATAAGAACTTTTGAGAAAAAGGACCCTTCCTCTCCAAAACTATGTGTACAGAGAGAATCTTGAGTCCTGAACTAACTGAGTAATTACCCTTGCAGATTGAATATCCACCATTTGAGAAAAATTTCTATGATGAGCATGAGGAGATCACCAGCCTCACCCCGCAGCAAGTGGTGGAGTTACGGCATAAGCTAAATCTCCGGGTAAGCTGCTCACGAAACTATCCTCCTAGAATCTTTTTACTCCCTTATTTTTGGACTTATAGTAGTTTTAATGAAGGTTTTCACAGGAGACTCCAACTTTTGAATACCAAGCCTCTTGGATACCATCAGTGACTTTGATTTAAGGGATCTGGATTTTCCTTAGCAGTTCTTGAAAATCTTCTCTGGATTTGTCAAAGGTGGTGCCAAAGATTTCCACTTGCATGGTTGCACTTGCACAAAAGAACTTCAGAGCTAGGAATTGAAACTACAAATATTATATGCAAGAATTAGTTCTTTGCCGTTTGTGACATGTTAGTCTGGTGACTTCCTATGAAGGAAATTATTTGGGGAAGACCCATTATACAAGGCGATAGATATGATGTTCAGTAGCTTATGGTGATAATTTATCTAAATTTTTGTACTTGGAAGTCCTGTTTACACAAGACATCTGGAATGTGCATCTAGTTAAACTTACATCTATTCAAAAAGCAAAAAAACATTTTCAGAGGCAGAGACCCTTTTTTTCATTTTTGTACAGAGTGCTCTTTGTTTTTCTCTTACTGTTCATGAACAAAGATATGTTTCTGTTTCTAAGGTCTCTGGTGCTGCTCCTCCAAGGCCTGGCAGTAGTTTTGCTCATTTTGGGTTTGATGAGCAACTTATGCATCAGATTAGAAAATCCGAGTATACCCAGCCCACTCCTATCCAGTGTCAGGTGAGTGTTGTTACTTCTCTAACATCTAAAGAGAACTAGTAGAACACATGCAAAGGTCCTTAGTCCACATGAGGATGTGTACAATTCTAGTTTCCTATATAGAGATGTCACAGGGAACAATAATTTGTATTTTCTAGGAAAATAGCTTTGATACTTTTTAAAATAGAAGTTTACCCACCTTTGTTCTTGTTTAATAACCATTGTAAATATATCCATATTCTTCATTTATCTCTTGGTGGAGGCTGAAGAACAGTCAAGAGACACCTCTAGTAGAAATGTATGAAAGGGTTGTTTGGTTTGGGGTTTTTTTTAGAAATTGTATTTTAAATAACCATAGCAGTAGCTGAGTAAAGAACCATACATTGACAACTTTATTCCTTTAAACATCTTAGATTTAAATGTCTCGTAACTAGAAGAGGTATGCAACAAGGCAATTTTTTTCATTTCTTTTGGCAATTAGAATAAATGCCTTATGAGCTGGACTATTCCTTGGAGGTCCATGCAGGCAAAAGGGATTCTACTGCATATGTAGATTGATTACCAAAAGTAATTAAGTTTATCAATAATGTGATTATAACCACACCACTTCAGATGGTTTTCTTGAAGTATAAAAAATGACAGGGTGCTGTGTCCAAGGGATGTGTATTAGGATCTTAGTCCGTACTATTTGGAAAAAACTGGTTGAGAGTCCCTTATAGCAACAGTAGGGATGAACTGAAGACTTCAGCACTCAGAATAGTTACAGAAAGAATAGGCTCAGAGAATTTGTTCTTAGCATTCTTACAGCTGGACAAGATGCATTTGTGTACATGTAAATATATCCTTGGGATGTTGTGCTGTGCCCAAACATTGATTTCATATAGGACAGCAACAGTTATACATGGTAATTACTTCCAGCCCTTAAAAGAAACTAATTCTGATCTGAACTTGGCAATAAAACTGTGTAAGCATTGACATATGTTGCTGTGAGTCCTCTGTAATATGCTTTCTTGTTATCTGAGTTTTTGTGTAGTATCTAGCACAAGAATATGCTAAGGTAGGCATAATATGGGTTTAGAATCTCCTTATTTTTAGGGTGTTCCAGTTGCACTAAGTGGCAGGGATATGATTGGGATAGCTAAGACTGGAAGTGGAAAAACAGCAGCCTTCATCTGGCCGATGCTGATTCACATCATGGATCAAAAGGAGCTTGAACCAGGGGATGGTCCCATTGCAGTGATCGTCTGCCCAACCAGAGAGCTTTGCCAACAGGTAGGTCTATGCTGATTGTGTGTGTGCTGTACTGTGTTCTAACAGAAGAAGACAAAATTCTGGGCAGAAATTATCAGAGAAACTCAGTAAACTATTTGAAAAAACTGCTCTGTGCATTAGTAGCATACCTCCAATGTAGGCTCAGTTCTCTCCTACATCTCTTTGTTGACGGATCATGACAAACCTGAAATTGTAAATCTTTGCACAGTGCTCCCGTATTAATTCTAAGTATTAAGAATACTGTGGATGCATTGCCACAAATTGTATGTGTAAAAGGATAGAGCCTGCAGGTTAAATTACAGTTGTCTAAATCGGTTTCTCAAATTACTGAAAATTATCCACAAGTGTTGAAGTATTCAGCCCTAAGGATTTCTGAATAATTTTGTTAAGTTACTAGCTGAAAAGTGGATTTCAGGAGCTGGACTGTATTTTCAAGGTAGGTGTTATTTTTCTCACATCTGTCTAATGTGAACTGTGATGTGCTTTGTTTAAAATTCTCAGATCCATTCTGAATGTAAGCGCTTTGGTAAGGCATATAATCTGCGCTCCGTAGCAGTGTATGGAGGAGGAAGCATGTGGGAGCAAGCCAAAGCCCTCCAGGAGGGGGCAGAGATAGTTGTCTGCACGCCAGTAAGTACCTGTATGCACATAGTACTGGGGTTATTTTGTTGTTTAACTGAAGTTGATATGGGGTTTTTTTTAGTACGGTTGGTGCTGCAGAATTTGTTCTGTTATCACTGAAATCTAGGTTCTTCACAGTTATCAGATATAGAGAGCAAATACGCTGGGATGATTATTCTCTCAGGATAAATTGAAAGATATTAGGTATGATCTCCAGTAGAATAGCAAGCAAGATCTGCTTGAATCAGTGTCAGTTGTGCACTGTACCAGCTTTTGATTGCTGAGCCTTAAAATTGATGAAGAAAATTCCCAGAATGTCATGGACTTGAGTGCCATCTTCCTGAATCAGTGTAGACCCTGTGGAATTAATGCTGAAGGGTTGAAACACTGAGTCAGAATGGATGTTGATGCAGAACCAGTGATTTAAATGAGCACCACTGTCAACTGGCTTTGCTTACTGCAAAAAACTAGTTATGAACTTGGGCAAAACTGAGCAGTGGTTGGAGGAATTGTGGCTATTTATTGGGGTATTAGGCAAGAAAACAAAGCATGAAGAGCTCCCTTGCCAAAAATTGTGGGATTAAGTAGCCAGTTCACATTTAAAATTTAATTGTAATGAAGAATGGGGAATTTTAGGATCTCAGCAGTGTTAAGCTTGAAAAAAACAGTCCTGAAGTTGAAGACAACTATGCTTGTCAGGCATAGTTGATGAGAGTTCTAGGAATCTGTTTCTATAACTGGAATATGGACACTTCTAGACTGAAGCCTTGAGATGTTTTCTATTCTAAGTCTCTGGTAAATGAGAATAAAAAGCAGTTAAGTGCTTGAAGGTTGCATATAATAACATTTTGTAAAATATGCTTTCAAAACTTTTTCTTTTTTTTAATAGGGTCGTTTGATTGATCATGTGAAAAAGAAAGCTACAAACCTTCAAAGAGTCACTTACCTTGTGTTTGATGAAGCTGACAGAATGTTTGATATGGGTTTTGGTACGTAATGAACAAAGTTCACTGTTTTGGAAAGGGGTGGTGTCCAGTTCCCAGCTTAGTAGGACTGTTCATAACCCCTGTAGCTTCATACACTTGAAAATACATTAAGCAAATACTTTATAGACTCATATTTAAAGGTCTAACATCTGTTACTATAAAGAGATCAGTGAAATCCTGTTGGTGTTGAAGTCCAAAAACCCTGATTTTTATCTTAGAGTTGCTGAATAACTTTTGGGCAAGTCACTTCTGTGTGTACAAATTAGTGGTGTTGAAAGAACTTTATTGGAAGCAGTTTGGTCATTCAGATCTGGATGATTTTGAATTTGTGTTCAAGAATCATGGGACATAGCAAAGATTTGACAGTGCTATAATAGCACAAAGGCGGGGAGACACTTGTAAGATGTATAGGTTATGCACAAATTTAGCTAGGATCTTTGCTTATGGAATTTTTTGCTGAAGGATCTTCCAGAAGTTTCTTTTTGCAGCAAAGGAACTTCCATTGTGTATCAAAGAGCCTTTGGAAGTCACAGTAAAATTAAATACTGAGTGAGAGACATTCACTCTATGGTTGGTTGTTAAATAAAGCAATGAAGAAGTATTTTTGGTTATTCTACTAAATAATGAGCATATGATGTTGATGAGAACATTTTCCATCTCCTTTTCAGAATATCAGGTCAGATCAGTGGCAAGCCACGTACGTCCTGACAGACAGAGTAAGTATAAGATTATTTCTAAGTAAACTGAGGAGGCTTTGTGGTGGGCTACCAGTTAAGAATCTGGAACAGAGATTGGATTTCCTGTTCCTGACACAGCCACACAACGAGGCTTCTGCAAAAGTCCACTGGTGTTATTCTCAGTGTGGGCTGTTAGGAGGGAGCGCTTGGGAAGTGTGGGCATGTAGCCACGTTAGTCTGTAATCCCTCCACAGACTTTACTCAGAGAAGAGATGATTAGCTGAGTTAATGTTCATATGCTTTGAGATCCTGTGTTCTAAGCTGCCATGAAAGAAGGTTCACAGCAGGGCCACATACTATCAACATCTTGTTTCAAGTGCCACGAAATGTATTTCCACGTTGAGGTATTCTAACAGTGTGATTGATAATTTTCATTAAAACCTGTAAAACAGACCATAGCTTCAGATCACTGACAGCTAGCACAGTTGTACAGGTCCTTATTCACAAGATCTGTGCAGTGTTTTCACAATTCTGAAATAAAGTTTCTTTTTCAAGGAGTTCAAATACTGTTTTTCTTTTAGCCCTCTTGTTCAGTGCCACTTTCCGTAAGAAGATTGAGAAATTGGCCCGAGATATTCTGATCGACCCCATTCGAGTTGTGCAGGGAGACATTGGAGAGGTAATTCCACGTTACTTGTGAGACAATCAGAAATATGAACCATCCTGTTTCTGTTGTCTGAAATTTAAATTAAACTGCAGTAGTCATCATTTATATTCATGCTTAACAAAAAATAGTAAGGTTTTGGTTTGGGGGCTTTTATTTATTTTGTTGAGTTTTCTTGCTGCCAACAAATATTATTATAGTGATGGGAGATTTCATCAAGGAATGAAAAACATTAATGTGATGATTGATTTTTTTTTAATTAGGCTGAATCAACAGGTATATCTTTTTGGTCTCAAAACTTTAAGTAAATCACAGCTGTTGCAATGAAGGATTTGAAACTTAGACACTGATGTCTTTCAGCTGGTGGGAATGTTGATTCTAGATTGCTCAACAGTAGCAGCTGAACTATTAGACTAAAATTGGGCAGTAAGTCAGTGAAGTGAGCAGGTTACACTTGCTCTGAAGAAACTGCTTATAAATGTAAACTGTTGAGAAGTTTCCCAAGATGCCTTCAGAACATTCTTCTTTTAACCAGTTCTCTGCATTTTATTTTTTTTTTTTTCAACCATGAATGTGAGGTATCCCTTTATAACAGAAAATTCATGGCTACCTGAAGCCCCTTCTTTGTGGGAAAAAGTTTTTCCTAACCATCACTTAAAAAAAGAAGCAGCTTTCTTAGTTCAATCTCATGGTTTCTTTTCTTTGATCTAAATTATTACTCTGAGAGCATGATCCTTGAAACAATTAATACTTAATTATGTAAAAATTAAATCTTTCAGAGAAACTTCCAGGTAGTGCTGTGAGCTCCACTGCACTTCTATTATTTGCAATATGGAGTGTGTAGGGAGTCTGTTTATACCTCCCATCTCCCAACTCCAAGGACAAGTTACAGCTCACAGGAGTATTTTCTCTGCTGGCTGTATGAATAACTTTTACTGATGAGCATCCTCCATCTCAGACCCTGCTCTTGCACAGTCTGTTTGAGACGTTAATGGCACCTGTCACAAGAGCATTGAAATTCCAAGTACCCATCTTCAGATCAGTTGGGTGCCAAACTGCATCATGTCAAAGACTGAGCTTTGCCTCTCAGGTTTAGCAGAGAGTAGCTCATTTAACCCCTGCCTTTTCTGCACTGTGAAAATGAAGTGGTCAGCAGTTAGCCAAGAGCTGAAACCTCTTTTAAAGGAGAATTTTGGTCTGCTGTTTCTCCACTTTTTATTCTCACACGTAGTTTAAATTTCTCATTTTATTCTACTGTCTGTGTTTGTTTGCCATTCTGTCCTGTGTTATTGCTTGTCTTCTTTCTCCCCTTAGGCAAATGAAGATGTTACTCAGATCGTGGAGATTTTCCCCTCTGGCCCAAGCAAGTGGAACTGGCTGACTCGGCGCCTCGTGGAGTTCACATCATCTGGGAGTGTTCTCCTGTTTGTCACCAAGAAGGCAAATGCAGAAGAGCTGGCCAATAACCTCAAGCAGGAGGATCATAATCTGGGGCTGCTTCATGGTGACATGGACCAGAGCGAGAGGAATAAAGTAATTTCAGAATTTAAGAAAAAGGGGATCCCGATACTGGTAGCTACTGATGTGGCAGGTATGTGATATTCTAAGTAGCAGCAGAAAGGCTAACACATTTCAGTGGAAGCCAACAAGGTTGGCTTCTGCACCTGCTGGGCCCTGTATTCCAGATGTTTTCCAGAAGTACACAGTCTTAGCAAGGGATTTTATTTTTAAAGTCTTCTAATGATGTTTAAATTACAGTCTGACAGATGTTTTTTAATATACAGAAAGAAAACAAGCTGTTTCTTAAGGAAGTAGTTGCTGTTTGTTAATCAGCTGACACATTATGCCTGTTTAAATGAAGAGGAGATGGACACACTTGAAGCCTTCTCTAGAACAGCTTTTGTACCCAGCTGAACAAAGACTGAATTTCAGTGTCCTTTAATAAAGCCCTCTCTCTTCCTTGGAAAAACAGTCATTTAAAGAGATCTCTTCAATCTCCAGTCCTGTGAACTTGGAGAGAAGATAGTACTACCCTTAACATGTATGAAGGGCGCCTTAACTGGGGTGTGTTCCTGTGGAAACTCCTTTCATATGCTGGAGCATAATGAAGAGAGATGATGGTATGAATGGAATTACTTTGAGTTAATTCAGGTTAATCACACTTGCTGCTATGTCGCCCTCTATTACAGCTCGTGGGTTAGATATTCCTTCCATTAAGACTGTTATCAATTATGATGTGGCTCGGGACATCGATACACACACCCATAGAATTGGTCGTACTGGCAGAGCTGGTGAGAAGGGAGTTGCCTACACTCTGCTGACTCCCAAAGACAGTAACTTCGCTGGTGATCTTGTCAGAAACCTGGAAGGCGCTAATCAACACGTTTCCAAAGAGCTGTTGGATCTAGCAATGCAGGTACAAACAAGCAGAACTTGAGTAGAGGAAGGTTCCTTCCATGAAACAAGGAGCTCAGAGACTTTTTTTCTGGCTCGGTCACGTGTTAGCAGTGACCTTTTGGCAATCTATACTGTTTTTAAGTAGGCTTTCTAGTGTTTTTAATGGCCTTTGAAAGAATCCATGAAGACATGAAGATTTTGGAACGCAGTATCTAATGTATTTTGGGGTCAGGCACTGCCTAGGAAATTAGGAGCGGTAATCTGGCCGATGCCAGCAGCGCACTCGCTCCAGCTGCAGTATCTCATTACAATCATGTTTTTGATATGCATTTGTGGCAGACACCTGGGAAATGCAGCTTAGCTGAAAGCTAAACTACAAAATAATTACAGGGACATTCACTCTGTGAAATGGTTGTTGCTTGATCATTCTACCTACTTGGCAGTGATATGTGGCAGGCTTGCTATATATGGGCATGACAGATAGCTGAAGCAATTGTGCCTGTGCCACTCTACTCGACTTCTAAGTTCTTGTCTTCTCCTGCCTGTGTAGCTGCAAAGAGCAAAGGCTGTTTGGTAATTCTCACATTCAGAGATGGATTAGCATGTTTTGTCTTCATTGCCAAGCAGCTTGGACACTAGCTGCTAGAAGTAATTATTTTCCTCGAAGGTACAGAGGCAGCGTTTTCAGAAGGGACAATTTGTGAGGCAGAGCTCCAAAGGCTGCCTTTGGAGAGGAGAGTGGAGAAGCTGAAGGGCTTATTGGCTTCTTCAGATTTGAAGAAACTATAGGGCATAAAAAGGGGTGCAGGCAACCATTATTTAAAAACCTGGTAACAGGAGGTCTGGTTGGACTGCCCTGTCCTGGCCACTGCTTGTTGCAGGAAGTTTTGCTGACAGAACCTCCCTTCTCCTTAGGCAGGCAGTGGGCTAAATCAATAAAAACCCCGTGTGAGCAAGTGCAGAGCTCCAGAGTGAATGGCATTAGAAATTGCTCTTATTCCTGGGTTTATTAGAATGCAAACTCCCAAATCTTAACAGGGATGAAATTTCAAGACATAAAATTAGTTTTCATAAAAAGCATTTGTAACAAAAAGCTTCAGACTGACATGACAAAGCTGCCTGCAGCTTGCTTTCAAAGCGTTGTAGTCTGTCACATCCCATCCCCTTGCAACAGCTGTGGTGTTGAATGGGCCACAGTATATATTTTTCTTTTGAAATGCTCAAAATCCTTCTTTTCTGAGCCTCATTACATGCATTTATGAAGCTTATTATTCGCTGTGTTGAGAAGCATTTGTCCTTATTTTGTACAGAATCCGTGGTTCCGGAAATCACGTTTCAAAGGAGGAAAAGGCAAGAAGCTGAATATTGGTGGTGGTGGTTTAGGATACCGTGAACGTCCTGGTTTGGGATCAGAAAATTCTGTAAGTAAAGATGCTGGAGAAGTTGTTAACAGATTTTTAGAACTTTTTAACTTAGTATTGACTACTCTTTAATTTAAAAAATCTTCCTAGTACTGGAATATAGCCTCTGCTTTCAAAGGTCTTCACCGCTCAGTCTCAGTATCAGAAGTATCTCAAGTGAAACTGTCCTGTGCTGTTATCCTCTTGTCAAGAGCTGCCTTCTTTAGGGCCAGAGGGATCCAGAAGGTTTGGGAGATTCTTCCCAAAATAGACTGTTAATGCAAAATAAATGCTAATCAATTACTTGAAAAGCCATTTCCAGACAGTCTTGGCAGCAAAAAGTCTTGCAGCATTGGGAACACTTAGGAGGGTTTGTCCGTGCTAGGAAAACAGCTCATTGCCTGTGTGTGTGGGGGCAAAATTTAACTCTAGACATGTTGAAAACACACCATGTTCAGCATCTTTCCAAAAGTCACAGCTGAAGCCTTATTCACACTTTGTCTTGGCTATGACCTTTGTAAAAAATCTGCATTTGATTGCATTTTGCTTTTGCTTGTACTGTAAGGAGCTGGGAAATGATGTTACACTGCTGACTAGTGAGTCACGAAGACTTAATGCGTCTTTACTTTTCTATCATCCTCAAAGTCACGGGGCAAACTGTTCTGCTCGGTGCTCCCCAGAAGTTTTTCATCCTTAGTAGATGTATTTCTGAGTGCAGGGCCAAGAGATATTTGGAGAAGGGTTAAATTGAAAGAGTGTAGGATAAATCTCTCCAGTTGTCCTTTGTCTTTTTGCGTAGGATCGTGGAAACAACAACAGCGTGATGAGTAACTATGAGGCGTACAAGCCATCCACTGGGGCGATGGGAGACAGGCTTACGGCAATGAAAGCAGCTTTTCAGGTTGGTTCCATCACTTGTACTCCAAGTTCTAACTCGAGAGAGGGCATAACATGATAAAATTTTACTGTCGATGATTCAAGACAGTATTATTTTCCTCCCCTGAAAATGCAGAGGCCCCGTTGATTTCAGGGAAGTTGAGTTTGGTACTTGTGGCCACGTCTCATCCACTTTGAGCACACACTCAGCATTGCACTCTGAAGTGGTAGAATGAGTGTGCAGGCTGGACTGAACACGTTTGCACAAAGTTAATTTGCCAGACTTTGTTTTCTGCTGCTTTGCTTTCTTTCCCTTCTGCATTCTGCTCCTAGGCTTGATCCTATTTAGGTTGCTTAGCAGCAGTAGTGTAATTGCAATACGAAGAAACGGGGAGCACAGAAACCGATTCTCTTCAGTGTAAAAATTTACCCCACAGTATAGGAGTTCCCTCGTTTCTGTGGTTTGGTGGCAGATGCCTGTTACTAATTCTGTGTTCATAAGCACAGCAGGAATGTAATCACTCCAAGAGTGACTTTTTATAGGAACTCTTTTTCCTAGGGGCTCCCCAGAATTCAAGATGGGCTTGTATATGCGTGCTGGCTGCGTGTTTTGTGGTGCAGTGCAGAGGCAAACGTGCTCTCTTTTTTTTCTTTTCTGTCTCTTCCTGGCAGTCCCAGTATAAGAGCCATTTTGTTGCTGCAAGCTTAAACAATCAAAAGACTGGTAGCTCTTCTGCTGGTGCGAGTGGCTGGACCAGCGCTGGGAGCTTGAACTCAGTACCAACAAGTTCAGCACAGCAAAACGCTGCAAACCCTGACAGCCCCATCGCAGCCGCCGCAGCAGCGAAGGGTGTTCCGGGTTTCACCAGCACGGGGAATTTGAGCAGCGTTCCCACCTTTCCAAGCGTCGGAGTACAGGGCTTCAACAACACAACTGCCAGCACCAACAATCGCGAAGCCATCGGCAGCAGCGGCCCCGGCGTTGCGGCTGGCGGTGGTGGTGGCGTTGTCAGAGAACGATACAACGACAACCGGAACAGTCGCCACAACGAGGTCCCGCGCCGTGGAGAGGGCGGCGGGCGCTACAACGACGTGCAGCGCCACGGAGAAGGAGGCGGTCGCCACAGTGACGCTTACCGCCACGGAGAGGGCCGACACGGCGACGGCCATCGCCACGCTGAGAGCCGGCACTTCCCCGACGGCGGCGGTGGCCGCAATAACGGTGACAGCAGGAACAGCAGCGACGGTAGGAACAACGAGAACAGGAATGGTGAGAACAGGAAGGATGGCAACAGCCGAGACAACAAGACAGATGGGTTTGCTGTCCCAGAACCCCCAAAGCGTAAGAAGAGCCGGTGGGACAGTTAAAAGCTGGTGTTTCACAACCTGGAATCCCTGCAGGTAGTGTTGTCTTATTTTTTCAGAGGATTTCTTGGGGTTTTTGGTAACTGGTTGTTGAGCAGCTGGGGGAGGAGAAGGAAACCATGAAAACTCCCCATTCAAGTCTGGGCCGGTACATCTGCGGACAGATTCACTCCAGTGATGTGTACACACAATGCTTAGTCAAAGAGAAATCATTTTGATAAAGCTCCCTGGGTTCTGCTTTTAAACATTCAGTGCTCAAGTGACTCTCTGCTGGATTTAAACAGATCTTCTTGACAAGAAAGAAGGTGTTTCGCGTCCTTGGAACGTTAAGAAACTGCTGTCCGTAGAAGTATAGTCTTTTCTTAACCAGCGTTCACATTTAAAAAACCAGTCCATCTAGAGATGCTCAGGACCCACCTGTTAAACATTAATCTTTCAGTAATTTGTTCAGTATGGTGAGTTCTTCCCCAGTCTCTTCTTTCCACATAGTCTCTTATCCCCAGATAAGAGGGATTTGGCTTCCAGGTTGCCCCTTACATCTCTCCCCATCAAGTGAGAATGCATCAGTTTGCGTTGCTGAAGGTGGGATGAAGCAAGTTGATTTTTTTTTTCTTCTTTTTTTTTTTTTTTAAATTTGTATGAAGCTGTTCAAGGGATCCTTCTCCAGCCCAGCCTACTACAAATTCACATGTAGTGTAGGTTGGACTCTCCAGCTTGTTTGTGGTCAGTACATCAATCCCAGTCCCATTGCCCGGGTAATTTTCCTTTTAAAGAACCTCTTCTTTCCTAATAATCTTTGTTTTGGTGGAAGCCTGCATAGCAAACTTGTCTCTCTGCTGTGCCTATGCACCCTCTGTTATGAGAGGGTTGAGTGCTTTCTTGAAATTAAAAACAAAAAAGGGAAAAAAATGTAGATAGGCCACAACAATCAAAGGCTGGTGCCCCTCACGAAGCGTAGCTAGATGAAGAGGCTTCACTCAGAAATTCAGGGACCTGCTGCTTCAGAAGCCTTTAGGGAAAACCCAGAAAGTGATTAATGAAGTGGAACAGCTCAAATATCGCCCCATATTGGACACATGTAGTTAAAACTGTAAAATCTTGCTTGACCGTTTTTAACTCGTCATGTGTATTACCCTTTTTTTAACTTTTTTTTTTTTTTTTTTGCGCGCCATAAAGGTAAGGAAGAACTCTTTTGTTGAAACATGTCAGCACCCACCTCTGTCTTGTTTCTACTGAAAGAAGTATCAGAAACTGTCAGGGTTTTGTGACATTGTGATGTTTTCTTTATCAGCTGTGCATTTACTTTCTGCTTGCTCTAGTAAATGTTTTATTACTGGGACAAAAATATCTCGGATGTGCTTTTTATTCTCCACTTCTTTGGCTGTTCTGGCATTTGGATGGAGATTTGACTGATTTGACTGCGCCCGTTTCTGTCACCACAAGTTGGGGATTGTAGTTGATAAAAAGACTTCCTGCGTTTTTTGTCAAGATCTTTCACCCCAGACTGTTTTGTAAACTCTATTTTAGCTTTAAAGCCTCCCAGGGAGTAGATTTTTCTCCATTTTACAGACAGGAAGGATGCAGCCCAGGACATCCCAGCCTTTCATGGGGCCATTGGTTGTCCTGAAAAGAGAACTCAGCAACAGTCTTGTGCCCTGACTTGCACATGTACTGGTTTCAGTTAAGACACCAACTTGATTACATGGGTCCCCTCTAGCTCTAATCTTGGATTTTTCTAAAATAGCCTCCCCTTGAATTCTCTTGTCACGGTCTAGGCAGGAACCTCATTGCACTGGTTTGAGTTCTGCATGTTTAGTATTAAGACTAATAAGGGCAGATGTGGCAGGGGTTTAGAAGCTGTGGCATTCCCCTTATCACACTTCAGGTTTATCACTCTGCAGAATTAAAGATTTGAGCTTCTAAACAAAAAAAAACCCAGCATCCTAGTCTAAAGGTGCCATCTGCCCCCTCCCTTCCTGGATCTCAGCTCGCTGCCACCAGCAGCTGGCCCTGTATGCATCATGTGGTTGGGTCTCTCCCCTTCTTTTTAACACATCCCTCTGCTCTTCGATAGGATTATTGAAATTCCTCACCCCTCTCTCAGCTACCAGGAACCTCTTGAGACTTGAATGGGTAAATACTGATCCCCGAGAGCGAGCTATAAACGTCAGTTCACGGGTCCGTGTTAGATACATGAGGGGGTGGGTTCAGAACAAGGCAGCTGTGTGAGCGGCCCCCAGCTCCCCTGAAAGAGAACCTGGCCCGTGCAGCGGAAGCTGGGCAGCTTCTGGAGAGACCAGAGCACAGCTCACAGCTGAGCAAATCCCTTACGGGAAGCTCAGGTCTGTTTGTGCAGTGCGATCCTCAGATCTGCCCCTGCCTCTCTGCCTGCTCCTCAGTCTCCTCTCCGCTGCCTCGTCCCCCAGCGTGGGGCAAATGCTGCCACCCCCCAGCACTCGCTGTCGAGGCTGTGCCTGACCCTGTGCTGTCTTCTGGAGCATTTAAAGAATACAGACCCCAGAGCCCTTCCCTGACATGCCTCTGGCCTTGGCTGTCCGTCCCTCCAGCGCTTCCCAACCCTCCTGACTCCCCTTTGTACTGTAGCTTTTCACTGGAAGATATGTGAATGCACAGAATTATTTACACATTTGCCATCACTGTCTTTATTGTGAAATTACTGCCTTGAGGGACTATGTCTCATTAGAGCAGATAGGAAAAAATTTCTCCAATGCTACCACCGACGTGCTGTTTAATTTTAACTGGCATAAACACCCCCTCTCCCCACGCTGCAGTATTTCCCCTCTCCCCTCTTGGTCTGGCTGAACTGTCAGGGCTGGGCATGGCCAGTTCCTCGGGAATGTCCTTTCCAGTCGGGGATGAGCTTTCCCGGGGCAGTGGGGTGGGCTGGGGCAACTGGGGTCACCTCGTCCCCAGCAGCAAGAGCGGGCCTGGCTCGGAACGTGGCCATGTCTTCAGCCCTTTGCACCCTTTGCTGCGCTCCAGCAACCGATCGCTTGAGTCCGCGATGGGGTTCAAGGATGGAAACAAGCCAGACAGTCTTTATTTGCATTTTAGCCTGCAAAAAGATTAGTGGGCCAAGACTTTTGCATGCAGTGGCCTGGGTGTTTATAGACAACTGTGCTGTAAAGCATGGAGGATCCAGGCTGCACCCTTCCCAGGCCCTAAAGCTTGGCCTGGCCCCCTGAGCCCGTCCTGTCCCTGTTTGTGGCTCCCTCTTTGTGCATTGGGCTTCACCATGGCTGTGAGCTGCACAAAGTGCAAGTAAGGGCAGGGCGAGCTGCGGAGTTGCTCTGCAGGCGCTGTGTGCTCCACCAGCCCCGGGCTGGGCAACGCAGGATTTGGTGCTAAACAGGGGAGTTGGACCTCAGGACTATGGGCTCATTGAATCGGCTGTATTATACACGCTGGGCTGAAGTCACCTTGCAGACTGTCGAGGTAAGATTGAACACGGAGGATTGTTTCCTGGCGATGACTCGAGGCTTCGCATGCACAGACATCACTTATGTCAGTTGCTTGCGGTTGGAGGGAGATGAGGTTTGGAACTGGCTGCTTGTTTTCAGGCCAGATCAGTAGAAGGAGCGAGAGCACGTGTTTGCTTTGCGCCCTGGCTGTGGGGGAAAGGGAGCTGTGATGATCCAGCTGCTGTCGCTCGCTACCCCAGCTCTCCACGCAAGCGTAGAAGGAGCCCAGAGCGTGAGGATCAGCATCTTCCCAGGCACAGCTGGATGTCCAGATGGGAAATGCACCGTTCGCTTCATAGCATCGTCTCCAGCTCACTCTTCAGGTTGGGGTGACGCTGATTCAGGTCTGTTAAGTCCACTGTGTTTTCCCCACAAGCTTTCTGGCTCATCTCCTGGGTCGGGCACGGCAAAAAGTGATCGGAGGGGAAGGAGCTGGGGATGTAGCCGGGCAGGCTGGCACGGGCGGGGAGCAGCAGCCCCCGCTGCTGGGTGCTCCCCACCCCGCGCCCCGCGAGGCTCACGCTGAAACTCGTGGTGGCGTGGGAGGCCAGGCCGCCGTAGCAGCAGCTCCCCGCCGCGCTGGTGGCACGTGCCTTCTGCTTCAGGTCCAGCGCCAGGCTCCTCCGAAAATGGGCTTTCTTAATCTCTGCTTGCACCTGAGGGAGAAATCCGAGACGGCTGCTGGTGCCGAGACAGTAAAACAGCCATCCCTTCCCTTCCCCATGGATTTCACTCCTGGTGACTTTTTTTTCCCCTTCCAATTCCTACTGAGAGGGATGGATCTGAGGGTTTTTTTCCTCCTGGAGGCTGTGGGTGAACTTCCCTGACCCTAAAGGGGCTGGAGCAGGGAGCTCAGCTGCACACGCTTCCGACTTACCTCCCCATTGCAAAAGCAGTAGATAAAAGCCACAAAGAAACCCTGCCAAAAGAGACAGAGGTGGAGTTAGAGTCCTGAGCCGGGACGCTGTGCGTGTGCCTCCCCGCTCCCCAGATGAGCACCACTCGGTGTTAGGAGCAGGCAGGCAGCCCGTGTCGTACCTGAGAGGAATTAAAGAGCATCTCGTAATGCATCTGGATCTGCCACAGGACCCCGGAGACTTCAGTGTAGGGCATGGCCATGAACACCACGTAATGGACTCCAAAAAGCGGCATCAGCACCAGCGTGGACTTCAGCAGCTTCCTGAGAGGAGAAATAAAACGCTCTGAGGCCTCAGCCGGGACCTGCCAGCCCGGCTGCAGCCCCCGTGCAGGTGTTGGTGAGTGTCCTAGTGAAGAGGACGGTCGCTTTAGCTTCTGCCACAGCCGGTCTGTGCGAGGCTGTCACAGTGTCCAGCTCGGAGAAGGGAGCAGGCAGAGCCTGAACTCCTGAGCCTGCTGTTTGAAGCGCTGGCTGCCAGCGTCCTGCCACCGTCCCTCGCTCCTGCAGCCCTTCCCGCCCTGTCTCAGCTGAGCAGGCAGAAACGAGCCAGACCAGGGCTGGGCCATGGTTTTGCTCCTGCCAGCACTTGCCTGTACTGCTGCCGGGGGTCCAGCTTCCCCGTGTTCGTCTCCCAGAGCTTGGAGGCCAGCACCCGGACGATGTTGAGGAAGAGGAAGAAGTTCACCTGCCAACAGACACCCACTGCAGTTTGTTGCCTGCAATGACCTTGGGTTTGCCCAAGCAGCCCCCCGGAACGAGGACAGGCAGTTCTGGGTGAGCTGCAGGCAGGGACAGGGCGGTGATGCTGTGGTCAGAGTGGGGAAGGAGCAGCACCCCTGGATCCCTCTGCATCACGTGGGCATCGCCCTGGGTGCTGGGGTGGCTGGGGAACAGCCCCACTGACCACAGGCAAATGCCTCTGGGTCTCTATTGATCCCTTTTCCCCAAAAGAGATTGAGACATTCAGCCACAGGGTTCTTACCACAACGGCAGCCAAGATGGGGACCTGATAAATCCACTTCATGTTCCCTGCACTGAGGTCCCAGCACCTGAAGAGACCAATAAAGAAACACCTTGGAGAAACCTGAAATCACTGGTAAGGAAAATTGCAGGCTGATGCCTCCCTGCACGCCCCAACCAACATCCCCGTCCTCCCACCCTTCACTCTCTTCATGGAGTTTGTGTAAATCTTCACCCAACAGCAGCCATGCTACAAGCTCTTGTAACCATCACGGTGTTGCAAATCAGCTTTAAATGATCATTAATGTTCCTGAGGGCTCCTTGGCCACCTCATCTAAAACTCCTGCTGTACGTTTGGTGGCCTTTCTCTTTTTAAAATGCTTGAGAACATTTTACATGCAACATATTTGCACCATTTATTGATCAATTTATGGTGTAAACCTGCATCCATCTTCCTCCCAAATGCAGAACAAAACCACTATCGGTCTGCCTTACTGACAATTTATGAGCTATTTTAGATGTGTGTTCACTCCTCTTGGGTTTTTTAGAAAATACCCAGTTTCAAAAGTTCTGGTGTCCACAGATACTTTGCTGGCATTTGCAACCAGTCTTTCCCTCCCCACAGGACTGCTGGAGAAGGTGGATCTACGTACTGTGTATCGGCCAGGGAGGCCCTGACGCTGGCCCAGACAGACACAAACACAGCGGGGAGACCTGGAGGGGCAGGAACCAGAGTGAGGAGCGCGGATGAAACATCACATTTGCAGACAGAACCAGTTCCTGGCAGCTGGTCTGCATCCCACTGCCCTTATCCGGGCACGCGGTGCCACTCAGCCATGGCTGATGCCACAGCTCCCAGCTGGTCTCGGCGGCCACAGCAGTGGGGTGGGGTCCATGCTTACCCCAGCCGATGATGATGAGGACCCACAGGTAGTTCTTGTTGGAGAGGAAGGCCATGAAGATCAGGCTGTGCAGGTAGAGACCTTCCACCAGGATCCAGTAGTGGTTGGTGGCCAGAAAATAGAGGAAGAGAGTCACCACCACCTTGCAGCCAACCTGTGGACATACAACGAGAGAGGTGCCCATATCAGGCCGTCCCTGAAAGCAAAACCTGGGGGCTTTTGCTCTCAGGCCGGCAAAGCCCAGGCTGTGCCCCACGTGTGGCTACATCTCCCCTGGGATATTCCAGCATCAGACGTAGAGTGGGGGGTCTAGGTCACAGAATCAATCATCTAGGTTGGGAAAGGTCTTTCCCATAGGAGGTATTTCCCATCCCAGGGCACTCTGAGCTCAGACAGGCTGCGAGACCGGTGTCCTCTGAGGCTCTGGTCTCCAGTTTTGGGCACCTCAGTATGAGAGAGATCTTGAGGGGCTGGAGCGAGGGCAGGGAAGGGCAATGAGGCTGGGGAAGGGCCTGGAGAATAAATCCTGTGAGGAGCCGGGGAAGGAGCTGAGAGTGTTCAGTGTGAGGAGGAGGAGGCTGAGGGGAGCCCTCATCACTCCACAGCTCCTGACAGGACACTGCAGAGAGGCTGGGGCTGGGCTCTGCTCCCAGGGGATCAGGGACAGGACAAGAGAGAACGGCTGGAAACTGCAACAGGGGAGGGTCAGGCTGGGCAGGAGGAAAAAATGTTTCCCAGCAAGAGTGGTCAGAGAGTGGAACAGGCTGCCCAGGGAGGGGGGAGTCCCCATCCCTGGGGGGGTTTAAGGGCTGTTGGGATGAGCTGTGGGGGGATGTGGGGTAGGGGAGAAATTTGTAGAGTCGGGCTGAGGGATGGACTCGATGATCCCGAGGGGCTTTTCCAACCTGAATGATTCTGGGGTTGAAAGAAGCTGGGCAGAGCTGTAGGTGGCCCTTCATCCCTCCCCAACTTCATCACCCCCGGGCAGCACCACCCCAATCTATGAGGGTCCCAAGTGCATCCCTTGCACCAGGGCTCCTGAATCTCCTTTTCTCCTGATCCTGTCTCCAGTCTCAGTGCGTCACTTGCCAGGTGGCTCCGTTGTCCCGATGAAGGACCCATTTCTGCCTTGAAGTCATCCTCCCGCATCTTCTCTGTCTCGCTGGCCAGCGTGCCCGAGTAGAGCACCATGTCCTTCACGAAGATGCTCACCGCCCGGCAGATGAAGGAGGTGAAGAGGTGGACATGGATGTAGTTGCGTGTGCAGTGCAGGCGCCTGTGGAGAAGGGATGTGATACAAGCCCAGCCTTGGCTGCCCAACAAGCTCATCACACGTGTGCTCAGGCAGTGGCGGGTCCCAGCGAAGGTGAGGTCTGAGGTGTCAGCCCTCCCATGGGCACAGAAGCCAGAGCTGGGGCAAGTTGGGTGTCAACGTCTTCAAGAGCAGGGTGGAGCAGATGGGGAGCTGGTCACCGCCGGGGGTGTTTTGGGCTTTGGGAAATGAGGTGATGTTTGTGCTGGGGTTTGGGGCCGGTTCCCGTTCCCTTAGGGGCTGCTCCCCCTCAGGGGGTCGTGTGTGTGTGTGCAGGCGATGGGGAGAGGACAGCTCTCCCCGACCCAGGGATGGGGCTTTGGCTTCTCCTTACTTGAAGTACGAGAGGATGCAGACGGCGACGATGAGGGAGGCCAGGGAGATGGAGTAGCCGATGGTGTACATCAGGTGCAGGCGGTCAAACACCTCCTGGAAGAGAAGGGCTGAGCTCTGCCACTCCTCCACAGCCCAGGTTTCCTCTGGCCTCTGGGCTGAGAGCATGGGGGGAGCCCAGCTTGTCTGGGGAGTGGAGGGGAAAGAGCCCCTTGCTCCTGGCAGTTCCCCTGGCCCTGATCCTCATCCCGACCCCTTTTCCCAGCACCTTTGATGAGCAAGGTCACCTTCTCACGGCTCCGGCTCTCGGAGGAGAAGAGCAGAGCACACTCGGTGTAATTGGCCCAGGTCTTGTTGATGCTGGGAGCCATGGCCCAGGTCCCGTAGGCGCTGCAGTACCTGTAGGCATGACCTGGGAATGGCAACAGGCATTGAGACAGTGGAAGGGTGTGCGGGAAGCCCAGACACATCCCTGCTCAGTGGAGGTTTATCTCTGAGGTGAGGTCGCTCCCTGCCCAGATGCAAGCGCTCACCTTTATGGTTGAAGTCGTAGATGTAGTCGGGGCAGGGCACCAACACCTCCTGGCTGGGGGAGCCCTTTGGCCAGCAGATAATCCCATCCCACTCCGGAAGGCAGCTGGTGTCTGGCCAAAGAGCAAAGACATATCTCACATCTCCGAGCAGGGCCACCTCCAGCTTCCCCAAGTGTGCGCTGGACCGGGGCAAGGAAAACGCTGCCACGATCACCCCTGGCCTGAAGAGCTGGGGGAGCTGTGGAAGGGCCAGGGAGGGGGACACGTCCCATCACATCCCACTTCTTCCTGGGGGGCCAAGGCCCCTCCATGACTTTCGTTCGCAGTGTTCATGGGGCAGTCTGGAAAATGGCGCAGCCAGCGCTGGCTAAGCAGAGTGATGTTTGATTAGCACCTAATTGCTCCCTAAGAGCAGCCAGGGTGCCAGGAGCTCCACAGACCCCCAGGAGCCACGTGTCCCTGGCCCCATCCCACTCCCATCGGAGGGGACAGCATTTCCCACAATGTAGCCAGCTCCACCAGTGAGCAGGGGAGGGATGCTACCTTTGATCTTCTCCAGTTGGGCTTTTATGTCTCTCTGACATTTCTCTTTAGCTTCCACCAGGAGATAGATCTGCTCTTCTTTTGTGAGAACATCATCAGGGTCAATCTGCCAAGACAAAACCCAAGTGACGACCCCGCCGCCTCCATGCTCCCCGCCGGCTCAGCTCAGGTCTCCTCTTCATGCTCACAATTTAGAGATTAATCTTCCGTGGGAGACCTTGACCCACCCTGGTGATCTCCATGTCCCTGGGAGCTGCCACTGCCTGCTCGGTGCCACGAACCACCTGTGGCCAGGATCCAGGAGTGGGGAGCGAAGCTGCTCTGTCCCAGCAGCACCCTGAAGGTGGCTGATGAGACACCCACAAACACTCCCCGACTTGGGGCAGGACCCACATCACTTCTGCTGCCACAGAACACGCCGTTGCTCCCTGCCACCAACCCCTGAATCCACCCAGCTAGTTAACACAAAGTTCCAAAATCACAAGGGGTTCGGGGGCTGTTATGGGAACATCATCTCCTAATGCAGAAACGACACTTTGCTGAACCCTGCAGTGTGTTGTCTCACCCACAGACTCATCGCATGAAGCGAGACCATCCTTGGGGCAAGAAATGAGAGTCAAAGCTGGGGCAAGAGACAGGGAGGAAAGACAGGAACACATGTGGAAAAGGGATGTGCTGGTGGGCAAAGCTAACGGAGCAGCCAGAGCCGGGCTGTGCTCTCCCAACCGCCCCTGGAGAGGCAGGTTTGGGTGACTTTGGGTAGATCCAAGTGATACGGGGAAGAGAACGGCGCTGCCCACATTCCCACTTGTGCTTTTCCCTCTTGCACGGCTGAGGCTGACCGTGAGCCCCCCTTCCACCCTGTCCGCTGTCCCTTGAGAAATGTTCATGTTTCTGTGCTAGAAATTAGTGGCATGTTGGGCTCCTGCCCCGGCTCCCTCTCACCCCCCTGCAGCGGCTCTGGGGGTCCCGTTGCCCATGCTGAGCCCTCCAGAGCCAGGTTCAAGTGGCCAGCCCAGGGCTCTGCAGACGAGTGGGAGCCCAGCACCGGGAGCAGGGGGCTGCAGCCTCCCAGTCACACTGCACATGCAAACATCTTCTGTGATGTTTTGGGCTGAGATACCTGAAGGAGTTTGGAGCCAGGGTGAGGAAACAGCTTTGGAAGTGAAAAGGAGCCGGGATGCGGGGGGGTTGTGTTGGCTCCAGGCTGCCCACGGCCAAATCCCCCCAGAGGGGAGACCCTGAACTCCCATTCACACTCTTCCCCAAAGCAGGCGTCTGGGGTGGAGGGCTGATGAGGGGTGTAGGACAGGAGTGGGACCCTGGGGGTGCAGCAGCAGGGTGGAGACCCTGCTTTGGGAGATGCACTGGATGCAGCCAGCTCTGCCCTCACCACATTACTCCATCCTCGCCTGTGCTGACCGTAAATCGCCCCACTTTTTCTGTTCCCCTGATGCCTCTGAGGCAATGGATGTGTCCAGGAAATGGAAAAACCATCACAGTGTCTCTGTGGCTGCTGGAAAGCGAGGAGAGGAGAGGGAGAGGGAGAGGGAGAGGGAGAGGATGCAAGACTCCCCTCCCAGCCTGCTCCTGCCTGGACCCCAGTCCTGCAGCCAGGGGACACGTGGCCCCCGACCAGAGCAGGTTGCACAATTAACAACATTTAAAGCCTGGAGGAGCCCACGGGGCCACGCAGACTTACCAGAGCCCACGCAGAACTCAGGAGGCAGCAGCAGAGGAGAGCCACCGTGATACCTCCCACAGGGCCAGATACCTCCATGGTCCCACGGTGTCACCGGGATGGGGACCTCAGGGACCAGCCGGAGGAAGCGAAGCCTTTGCCTGGGGCCAGCCCGAGTCGCCGCCAGCCCGAGGCCGCGGGCGATGGAGAGGGCTGGTGCGTTCGGCAGGACAGAGCATCTTCTGGGAGCACCTTCCCGGCTGCCGACCCCGGCGAGGCGAGGTGGTGGCGGAGACACAGCCCGTCCCGGGAGCTCAGGGCCGGGGGAGCACCCTGGGGTGAGTCCTCTGTCCCGATGGGTGCTGCCCCGGCAGCGCTGCAGGGATCTGCTCGTGGGCTTAGCAGGCAGGGGGGGTTCTCCCCCCACCACGCTTGCTCCTGTTCAGTCTCTGCATCTTGCCTGCTTTAAGCAGCTCCTGGAGTGTGTGCAAACAGTTCCCGTTCGGATGGGGATGGCAGAGGTTTATTGGCTTAGCCTGAGGTGCTAAAATCCTCTTCATTCAAGGCAGATTCCTCTTCTCTTTTCAGAAACTTCTCTCACTGCCTGGTGGCTCATTTTTCAGCTGTCACAGCATCCCCCTGCTGCCCCTGCACTGCTCAGTCTCCTCCAGCCCCAGACTGGTCCCAAAGAGCTGAAGGATGGTGGGGAAAATCCCCGTGATGGCTAGAGGTAGGGAGGCAGAGGGTGCAGGCACGTGAGCATCCCCTCGGCACTGATGCTCCCGAGATGGGATGTCTTTCAGACAGATGCCAGTTTAACCCTTTTCCTTCTCTCAGGGTTGGGACGTGTTTTGGGGGGATGTGCTGGGATCAGTCCTGCTCCCCACTATGACAAGCACCCCACTGCCTTTGTGCGTTTGCTTTGCAAAAGGATCTCACTGCACAACTGCATTTAGCTTTCTGCGGTGGGAGGCTGATGGAGCAGGAGCCCCTGCTACGGCAGGGGCAGGCAGGGCAGGCAGACAGTCCTGGCAGCAGGGATTTTCCACCCTTATGGGTGTCTCATGCAGCCTGTGAATGAGATGAGCAGAACCGACAAGGCCAGAAGGTTTTTTGGGCATTGGATCAGAGCTGGTCCCACTGCAGCTGACACCAGCCGTCCCTTGTCACCTGCAGCCCCTTGGGGAGGCCCCCGGGCTCTCCTGTGTTTTGGAATCATGCAGATGCCCGGCTTACTCCCACCACCCTGCCAGCTCGAATGCCTTGTGTCCCCCCAGCAGCCCGAGCGTCCCCCTGGGGAAACAGGGGCACAAAGCGGGGAGTCCTTGTTCCCCAAGTAGGTTGTTATTAGTAGGATGAGGCTGAAATTCAACAGCCCAGTGCCAAACCCAGGGAACAGCAGGCTCCCAGCCCGGGGCCTCTCCCTTTTCCATGTAATCCATGGCCAGGCATAGCTCTTGCTGCCACTGTAAGTACCAAAATCCTGCACAGAGCAGAGCCCCCAGTCTCCCTCGGGGTTCTCCTGGCAGGGCAGCTCCTCCTGGTCCCAGCCATGAGCCCCCGTGGCTGCTTGGAGGAGGGTCAGACTTTTGCTCAGCTCCTGTGGCGAGGGAAGGCGCATCAGCTCGGTCTGAGAGAGCAAAGCAAATCCAAATGACAGCGCTCGGGAGGTGCTGCTGTTCCCTCTGATTAAATCAGACAGAAAAACAAGCCTCTCCGTTGCTTTCCCTGCCACGGCAATCAGTTCTAAATCTAGGAGGGATTAGGGACATCTTCAGCAGCTGCCCATCTCCCCGGCCCAATTTAGCCACCACCCCGGCCCATCGCGTGGGCGCTGACACCAGCCCAGCAGCATCGCTCTGCCGAGCGGCCCCGCAGCTCCCGTTGGGACGCTGCATGGGCACGCAGGGCAGGAGAGGGGATAAGCAGTTAAATTGCAGGATTAATATTTTCTGAAGGCTCTTCTGGGTACTGATTTCTGACCCAGAAGCTGCTGGGAAGTCAGGCGTTCAGGGTAGGTTGTTTTGGAGTCGGATGGCTGCGTGGCTCGATGGATGCTGGTGGGGGGAGTCAGTAACGCTCAGGGGCAGTGTGATTCCCACTGCGGGCGAAATCTGACCCAGGCTCTGAGTTTGCTGTTAGCAAAACATGTTGGCGGGGTTTTTTTTTGCTAAATTACTTGCTATATTATAGAGCAATCTGGAAAGCAATCATTGCAAACAACACCCACCCAGTCCCATCATCCAGCCCCCTCGGCTCCCCAAATCCACACCAGCAATCGTGAGATGACGGCAGACAGTAAATTTCCCAGCATTTGTTGCTGCTCCCTCCTCCTGAAGGAACCCCGTAACCCAGCTGGCGATAGCTCAGCCTCCGGCTTGAGCAGCGTTTCAGCAGTGAAGAGGCTGGGGGGAGGCTGTGAGCACAGGGCTGAGCTGGTGACACCCCCTGTTCCCATCACTCCTCACCCTGCAGCAGCCCCAAAAGAGCAGGATTAGACCGACCCAGTCATGGCAAGCCTGAGCCGCTGAGATGCAATATGACCTGAACAAGCCTGACTCAGCCACCTGAAAATACAAGTATAACCACATTTTCTATATCTATGTATAAACAAAATTTAAATACACACATCTATAATGTGTGTATGTATATATCTATATATATATATGTACAAATATAATGGCTCAGACTCCAGCCAGCACCAAGACCTCGTAGCTCTCACACCAGGACTAACAGCATCTCGCAGGACCCTGTTCCACCCAGTGGCTTGCAACCGTCCCTGCAGCCCAATTTAAGCAAGCCCTGGCCGGAGAAAGGGGGCTGTGCAGCATCTCCACAGCAGAGAAGATGCTCTCATCTGCTATAAATATTTTTTGTCCATTTATTTCTATTAGCAAAACACCAGTTCTTGGACCCCAGTGCAAACTAGGGATGAGTTTTCCTCCCCCTGTGCTCTGTTGCAATCTGGCTGTGTTTAAGTTGATGGTTTAGGATGTCTTGGTGTAACCCTTGAGCTCTATTTTCTGGGATGCTGAACCTCGATGACTTCTTCTGCCTCTTCTGTGGATCTTTCAAACAGTTGGGAGAGGAGGGTGAGAGCAGGAGCATCTCCCAGCGGAGCTGGGAGCCTGCCCAGCGCCTGGAGAGGAGCCGAAAGGAGAGCCCATCGCCTGCTCTGCCCCACAGGATTTGGGGATGGATGGGACGAGTGGTGCAGGGCTGTGAGAGGCCCTGAGCTGATGAATTAAATGCCTGGCTTTAGCCATCATTCGCATTACTCTCATTAACCATCGTGAAGGAGGTGAGCACAGCTTCTTCCCTGCAGCGTGGCCTTTTCCAGGGCACAAACTCAGCCCTGGGGAGAGACTGGGGCAAAACAGACCCTGAGCATGAGGCCAGGGGGATTGTTCAGAGAGGACTGGGCTCCTTTGAAGTAGTACTTCATAAATCCTGGTCTTAAAAGGGGCTCTGCAGCGTTCGCCCTTGCAGGCCTGCCTAAAAACAGACGCGCTTTTCCCGTGGGTATCACGGCAGGTTTATCAGCCCTTGTGTTGCTATTTTCTTGCCAGGCACCCGGGGCCGTTCACGTTTAGGTTTCCAATGATCATTTAGGAAGCAGCCCCCACGCAGCCCACCCGGTGCAGGTGCTGGAGGGGGAGACGTCCCCCCTTTTGCGGCTGGGGAGGGGCGGCTGGTGGCTTTGCTGCGCCAGGAGCTGATGACAATGGGCAATTGTCAAGTTGGGGCCCCTCTCGTTTGAGTTTTCTTCCTTTTATAGTAAGTAACAGTTGCTCCAGCAGCTGGCCTGCCCCTCCGGGTGAGGACAGGGCTCTGTATATAAGGGAAAGAGCAGACTTCGCCTTTCATCCCTCCGTTCGGTTGCTTCACTGGGCGGCAGAACTCATCCCTGCACCTTTGCAAAGACCCAGCACGATGCCACTCAAGAAACCCGACCCGAAAAAGGAAGCAGCCAAACTGGCTCCAGCCCCGGAGCCACCCAGAGAGCCTGCCTTCGATCCCAAGAGCGTGAAGGTGAGTGAGGAATGAAGACATCACCGGCTGCCTTCGTGCCTGTCATCTGCCAGGCACGGGCGGTGCAATGCACCATGCAAACAGCATTAGCCAGGATGAAGGACAGGGTTGGGAGGGGAAAATTATCAGTTTGCATTGATGCAGAGGGCTGGGAGTGATGCTCTTCTCGCTGGGGGGATGTTTCAATCTTCCCCCACCCAGCCCTGCACAGCATTCACTCAAGGAAACTGCTTCGCACTCGCTCCGGGACGCTGCTGCCCAGAGCTCCAGCTGCAGAGTCAAACGCCCCATGGCTCCTGGCTGAGACACCGGGTCGGGGCCCCGGCAGTGTTAAAACATTTTTCTGCCACCCACCGTCTCCATCCTAAAGTATTTTGCCGCCTGTCTTGTCTCGTTCATGTGAGAGCATCTTCTATCCAAGTTTCTACAGCGGGTGCTCACCTTTTCCCTCATTCTCCAGGGTTTAGTTACATTTTTAAGCCAGAGCTGTGGCAGGAGAGTTGTTAATAGCAGGTTCAGCACGGAGGCTGTTTAATCACTTGAACTAGGGATCAAGCCTTGAAATAACATCCCTTTCACCAGCACAGACTGGTCCAAGCATCCCCGCTGCCTGCCCGCCCCTTGCCCGCTGCCGGCTCTGCTTTCCGTAGGGATCTCAGCTCCGCAGCGAGGGCAGGAGCGCTCCCGGGCACGGCCCGGCCGGACACGGCATGGACACGGCCCCCGCCCCGAGCGGACTGCGGAGCCTGGGGAGGGAGATGTTCAAATGCAGGGGAGAGCCCCTTCGTTACCCCAGCAGTAACACAGCACTCATGTCCCGCTCTGTCCTCTTCTCCCAACAGATTGAATTCACTGCAGAGCAGATCGAAGGTAAGTGCAGATGTCACCTACTCCCAGAAATGGCAATAGAGAGAGTGAGTTCTTTTTCCAAGTAGTTTTTCACGGCAGACATGAGGCCCCACACATCAAATCCCCTCCTGGGGGAAAACCCAGCAGGGTCCAAGTACCCCATTTGCCCCCAGCACGCTGCTCATCCTCCAGGATGGGCTCATGAGGTTTCCCAGAAGGTAGAAGGGCCATATGAAATCAGAAAGTCGTTTCCCTGACCAGTATCAGGCTGGTAAGGAGATGGGGAAGATGCTGGTGGGAAGGGAGGAGGCAGGAGATGGAGATGGGAGCGGTGCTGGAGGTGAGGGGGAGCCAGCACAGGGGTTTAGCTGGGACTGCAACGCAGTCGGGAGCAATGAATGGAGCCTGGCTCCTTGCTCTGCGCTGAAGGTGCCCCAGTCAAAGAGGATAATCCCAGCTTCAGAGCCTGGCAGGGAAAAGGTATTTTTCCATTCATGGTGAGAGATGCAGCTTGGTTCAAAGTCTGGGATTTGTGTGGGAGGAGCAGCTTCTGGTGATGCAGGGACAGGGGCGCTGTGCCGAGGTTGGGATTTCTCATCTCTCCATGGCCAGTTTTAATACCTCTGTGCAGACTAGGGAAGGGACAAGATCCCAGGGCAGATCCTGGTGAGAGTACTGGGAGGAGGAGACCCAGTATCCTATAGGCTCGGCCCCCAAACCAGCTTCTGAAATGAGAAAAGAGAGACAGCGGAAATGTGAGCAAGTTAAAATATGAAAATATCTGGATTGAACCTGCAGCGACGTCCCAGAGCATGTGATGTGCTCCAGGTAGTTGGGAGTGGATACCACTGAGCACCCTCGTAGCGGTGCCTCTTGGCCCAGGGACTGGCAGGAGGTCATGTCCTTCTCTGGATCCCCCCCGAGATGGAGGGATCCCACCTGCAGAAATGGAGCCACTGGGAGGCCAAGCAGGATAACAGCAGCACCCCGAGGTGCTGGGGGGACTGTGGACAGGCCTACAGGATGGTGAGGCTTGGCAGAAGATATGAAGGTGCCAAGTACAAAATGGAGCAAATCCAAAACCCTGGGCAAGGATTCCCACCAAACTGCCTACCAGACTATCGTCTGCATCGCTGCATGGAGACTGCAGCCATCTCATCCCACCCAACAGCAGGAGGAGCAGCAGCTCTGCTGTGCGTGAACTATTGCTGGGCATCATGAAGAAGATGGACCAGAACCTGGAATTCATTAGTTCTGTGGACAAGAA